ACGGAGGAGAAATATTGCCGCTTAATTGGCTTAAGTAGTTTTTGTACTCAAAGAGGTGAATATAAAAATCCTCAACAAATTAAAAATTCAATCAGCAAATTATGTTAGTTTGAAATTCAAGGTCATTTTGATTTAAACTTTCCCAAAAGCTAATATCATATGAATTTGAATATCATTTTCCGGTTATCATCATCCATCTATTAAGACTTTCCTGTGTACACTTTCCTCAGTTATTAAGCGACATATTATTTTTTTTTTATTGACAGTTTTGCCCTACGTTAAAATTACATTAGAAGGTGGTAGTATTCGTAGTAGTAAGACAAAATTCTATTCGGTTATAAATGCCAATATTTTATGTTTAAACTGTAGATTATCGCTACAGTTAAAAAGATAACAGTTTTCTTAGTAATTTTCGTATCGTCTTTGTTACAATATTTAGTCAAACTTTAACATAAGATGGGATCCGATTATTGTGCCATTCTTCGGCCAACCGGGCACTTTCTGTCTGTTTCGCTCTTTTATGTGCTATGCTGAGATGTTATTTTTTATGATCACATTGTTTTTATAATTTTTTTTTACAAATCATCGCTTTGGTCATGAGTTCGCCTGATGTGATTTAGTTAAGTCACAACATGACTGTCGATATGAAAACGTCAACAACTTAAGCTGACATATTACTTTAATTTATTTTTCCATCTAGATTGCAGCGGTCAAATGAATTATCTTACAGTTGGAAAAAATCATATAAAAGTGATTAACAAATATTCTTAGTATCTAAGTTTAGTTAAATCCAAGTTCGCTAAAAACAAAAAAGTAACAAAAAAAAAGCCATACTGACACATGGCTCACCATGAAATGCCCTGCACGATAGAATTGTTTCCGGGATAACTTCTTAAGGTACTGCATGGAAAGTGACTTAATTCGAAACATTCCCAACAGTATTCTCCCTTGGACCGGAACACATCGTTGTGTCGAATTCCATCAGAATATCTCCAAAAATTGATTATAAGAATACATGAACAGTTATCAGATGGACGGACGGACAGACAAGCTTAGAGCATTTTATGAATCGTTCGATTTATTAAAAGATGGGTCTATTTCAAGTACTTCTGGGTGTTGTACAATTCCCCCTTGTATCATAAGAAGTATAAGATATAATGCCTAAAAAAAGACAGGATTGAGTTAAAGAATAATTCTTATTCATGGGTTCTCCATTAGGTCTATGTTTTATAGCTCGGCTTAATTTTATCTTTTTGTTGTTTGTTTTTTATGTCCCGGCCAAGACGCCAAGTAGTAATAGTAAACAAAAAGGAACCATTTAAAGGCTTCAAAGGAAGGAGTGGTTTACTAACACGAGTTCTGCTGCTACGTCAAGGCTGAGAAAATGCTACGCTTACAATCGAATGATAATTGCCCTCATCAGTACTTCCCTCACTCAACGGCGAAGACTTCGTTTCTTATGACCTACGCTCATTACCCTACCACACATGCAAATCATAAATGAAAAGGAAATATTAAAAGAAATAAAACCAATACCACTCCAAAAGCGTTCCTTACTTTTAAAGATCTCTAAATATGTAGACCTCTTGATTATAAAAGAAACGGCCAACACAATACTTCCTGTACTTGAGTTAAGTGATAAGAGACATTATTACAACTATTCCAGAAAATGTACAAAGATATTGTTAGACAGCAGCCGATGAAATTGAAAGTGCGGCTATTAAAATGTCTACGCTAGAAATTACAAGAGTTATGATGGATGTGTCACGTTACACCAACAATTTATGTGCATTCCGAAAACTTTGTAAGAAACATTCAACATAGTAATAACAATAACAAGCAACGAACATGTGTCTATTTCACGATGCATATTACATGGACTACCGTTAGAGTCAAAATTAATATGAAATTATTACAGTCACAAGCTCTCAGACAGGTATGCATAAACGGATACTTTGTCTTCTTGTTTCTTTTTTTATTTTCATTTTTCTATGCAGTGTGTCTACTACAACTACTACTACTACTATTACTAGGTGTTGCAGGCTTTATAATTGTGGGGCCAATCTTAAAAGTCTTAAGAGTCACCATAAAGTCGAACAACCAGTTTCAATACAAAAACAATACTAATACCAAGAAAGAGTAAAACCAGCTCAACTTAAAAGACCTGAAAACGGAAAATGGGAGCAGTTAACCCAAATTCAATACATATTGCGTATAACGAACATGTTCACAATGCACATAGTGTTGTAAGTCGATTGAATCACACATGCAACAGTTATAGTCTTTTTTTGTTTTGTTTTTTTCCTTTTTTTTTTTTTCTTCTTAACTGTGCAATATGATATTATTGTTGTTGGAGGCAAAAAAAAAAATCTTATTTAATACTCTTTCTTACACACAATCGATTGGAGTTTAAGACAAAAATTCATAAGTGATTTGCTTTAGTTATTTTTTTTTCTTTGTCGTTTGCTTATTTATAATCGAGTACATATGTATCTACAAAGATAGAAGAAAAATTTATTGAATTCAAAAACGGAAAAAAAACCAGAAGCAAAATTCATAGAGAGCTAGTAATGCAAAAGAATTTTCATAGCAAGCAATAGCAATTTTGCTACCAATGAATACGAAAATTCATTATTTCGCATCGATTTGTCTTTGCTTTTTTTATTTAAATTTTTACTTACTGTTACCTGGAGTTCTTGTCTATGTGTGTGTTTGCATGTGTGTAATAATGCTATGTAAGTATCACATGGCGATACATGCGTTCGCTTGTACTATTATAATTTGCAAATCGTTGATTTAAATTAAAAGTTGCTCAGGCAAGTCGTTGAACTTTATTTACCGATAAATAATAGTCGCGTGACATTTATAACGAAATTTATATTAGGTCTATTAAAAAATATTGAGCCTGTAATAAATCAACCTACATACGATCAAACATTCACTTTTTACATACCTTTCATGTTTCTCTTATGATCTGACCTAGGCATAGACATTTATAAGCAATTAACTGCATCTTGATTATAATTAATATTTAATGCAATTGTGTTATTATTACTTCTTCTGCTTTCACAAATGGTATCAATTTCTTTTTACTCGCCTTCTTTTTTCAAATCATTTCGCTCGGATGCCATATATTCGGTTCGTTTGTTTTCTTAATTGTTTATTAACATTTTTTATTATTTATGTATTTATTTTTTTTTTTTTCTTTTTTTTTTTTTGATTATTAATAAGAATCATTTTCTGCACGTAATATACTTTTAAGTTGTTTAGCTACGAAGTCCAAAAAATCATTCATTTCATGTTCAAATATCTCAATTCAAAGAAAGTTGAAATTTTTAGAAAAAAACGTTAAACTTTTAAAACATTCTTTTTTTTTATATCATGCTTTTCAAACAATTTTTTTTTGAAAACTTTTGAAAACCTTCTCCTTTGGAAAAATATTTGATGCACTTTGAGCTTTTAACTTACATTTTGTTTAATTCACATCAGCACCAGCTACCACAGAGACGAGACGGCGAGTAAAATAGTAAGCGGTAAGAAGAACAAATTCCAAGAATAAATGTAACAGAAATAATAATAGATTTAGAAAATACTTATAACATCACTTATCGACTGACTGTTTGTAACACACAAAAAAACTGCGTACATTAGCGTAATTCTGAATGAATTAAACCTTATTCTTCTCTCTCTCTCTCTCTTTCTCTGTTGTAAGGCAGTGTAGGGTCATCCACATTTACAAAAGTTGAGGTAGAAAGATGAAAATTAAGATCTACACGCTGACCTAATGGTTCCAAACCGAATTTGAAATGAAATAGGGTGCACCTAGAGCACATGACAAATATCAGTTTCAAATATACTACAAAGCATCAGTGAGCAATTTATGCTTAAAAACATGTCCACTATAAGTAGAAATTTTGATTTGAGAAGAAGAAACTTATATTTAGCTTAAGTTTACCAATAAATACCGCTATACATATTGTTACGAAAATGCTGTTTTTCATGATTTAAATTTTCATGAAAATTTGGTCGGTTTTCTAGGAAACTAAATTCAAAAGAAGGGAAAACCCAAATATACATTCATGAAGCGTCACCTGTCTCATGCAGTTGGTGATTAACCACAAAATTAACAGCATTCGACAGAGATTTAGGGGAAAATGGATTAACAGGTTAGCGGATTAAAAATGTCGCGATGAATTTAGGTGATGGTAACTTGCTTACAAAAAACTATATAAGCGGCATCTTTGCAGAACACAGAATTAATTAAGTCAAGAGAGTCGAGTCGTGAGATTAAAACGAATTAAAGTGTCACAAATGCAAGTTCTTGAAAATAAATTGTAAATAAAAAAAAAAAAAAGGTGAATATAAAATTCTTAAAAAACGGTTACCTAAAAAACTGAAATATTGTAAAACTCTCGTCAATTTGACATCCCGGTATGCTGATTTGTTGTTGTGAAGAATTCAGAATTCGTGAAAGCGCAAATATAATATCTGTTTGTTTCGCTACATTTAGATGATTAGAAGCCACTGCAAACACAATTTTTTTTCAGTAATAGGTTTTACTATAGAGGCTTTGAACACAACAAAAATGCGTAGTGAAAACACTTATTTTTATTCGCCCCGACAAGCTGAACAACCTCCGTTATTAAGATATTAGGTGGTGCTAAAAAATTGTGTAATTAAGTATCCATTATCAATCAAGTTAAGATTAGACGGAAAATTTTTAGATGCCTTCTTTTTTAAACGTGTTTCTCTAATAGAAATGCTTTCACATAACTTAATTATTATTATATATTTTGCTTTTATGCAAACAAAGCTTGTTATACCCCTACGGTGAATGCTGCACTGCCCAAAAGCTAAAAGTTTTAATTCAGACAGGATAACTAATATTATTTTCTTGCTGGCAATACTGTTCAAAACGATTAAAAGTAATAAACAGCTGATGATCAGAGCTACACTAACTGATTGTTGTGTATACACCAAAAAAATCTATTGTAAATGTGCAATAAAATGCGATAAAATATATAAACACATTTTTCGGTAATTAATTAATATAACAAGTGAACTAATAACTTTTGTTCATAATAGAAAAAATGGTTTTCACCTTCTGTTGATGATTAATATTCTTAACTCTAATATTTGAGATATTTTTCTAATACATTAAATCCGATTTGTTAATATTTAGAAGCATTTTTTGCGGACATTAATAAGTATGGGTAGACGAAAATCGAAAAGAAAGCCGCCACCGAAACGTAAAAATATCCAACCTTTGGATCAACAATTCAATTGTCCATTTTGTAATCATGAAAAATCTTGCGAAGTGAAGATGGACAAAAGCCGAAACACCGCACGTATATCATGTAGAGTGTGTTTGGAAGATTATCAGACGACCATTAACTTCTTGTCGGAACCTCTCGATGTTTATAACGATTGGGTTGATGCATGCGAAAATGCAAATTAAATATAAGTGATAGGTACTCTTTTTTTTTATAATTGAATAAAATGTGAAGCTAATACAAAGTATTTTCAGTCAAATGATGTTAAACTTTCATTTAACAGTGAGCCAAGGAAGTACAAATATTTTCATTTAACCGAAAGTTAAACTTTCACTTAAAAGCGCGTTAAAGCAGACAGATATATTCAATAGTCAGGAAGCAATTCTAATATTATTAGGAAGGTCTCCTATGTAGTAATAAATATTTGATGTGTTTTTCTCCCTCTCAAAATAGTTAATCAACTTATTTCTTAAGCTTTTAAATATCTCAAGGCATATTCCTTCTGTCCAATATTCCGAATTTGCCCGATAATTGTACACTTGGTATTTACGCTGCATCGTATTAAAAATAACCATATTCCTTTTGGATGATAGTCTGTTTATTATGTGGAAGGCAATAAAAGTTCCTGTACACGTATTATTTTAGTCTTTTTTTTTTTTGTTTTTCTTCTGTTCATTCTTTTATTCCATTCATACATATATACTGAAATTAAATCACATGCTCAAACACTATTTTAATTATTATTTAAATTTAACTTGGGTTTCAAGTTTTAAAATGAAGACATCAGACATATGTTAAAAAATAAATTTAGGGGATATTTAAAAAATTAAGTTATGATTAAATATTAAAAGAAAAGTCTATTAATGTTAATGAAAGCCACAATGATGTAATATAAAGTCACAGGAAGCGCGTATGCAAAAACTGACATCTATGTTCATACAAAGCAACGTTTATAAAAAATATATATTTTAATGCGACTGCACTTTCACATCATATTTTCTTAAGGAATTTTGTCATCATGAGTGAAGGGGCTACGACTGTGTTAGAATATTTTTTTTATAATTTTCATTTCTGTCATGTTTTAAATTGTACTTGAAATCACATTTTTTTAAAACTGGAGTTAATTTTTCTTCTATATAATTCTTGTACTTTGTGGCATAAGCACTTAGCGCGGGGGAATGATAATGTAATGAACTGTGGGATATTTTAGTGGACTTTAGGAAGTTGTCTCCAACAAAACAGCCGCTGCAAGCTGTAAGCTCCATCCAGTTTTCTGTAGAGCCTGCTCACACTGAGGTCGGTCGGCCACACCGAGTCTATCAAAAGTTAACAATCTAGTTATGGTAATCAAAGCGTTAAAAATTGAATCAAGAAAACTTACTTAGACAATTGATCAATTTTAAAGTGGCGTATTGCCAGATTAACATCTCCACTGGCCGCTCGTAAAGCGTTGCGGACATCCTGTTCTACTGCACCATTGGGACCCAAGTCATTCATTATTTGTTTTATTTTTTGATTTTCTCGTTCATATTCAGATGGTATAGGGGCGTATAATGTATTGCTGCCCTCAATTTGAGCTTCTTGTTGCCTCCTTAGTTTTTCTAAGCGTCTTTGTATTTGTTGAGTGGACAGCTGAGGTGGTGCTAGAGGAGCGGGACGATGAGGTCTCAGATAATCATCACCGGTAACTTCATCATAGATAGCGGATTGTAACGCTACAGGTATCCCACCATTTGCATATATTTGGCTGTTACTAATAGGAATCTGTTCATAGAATGTAGATGGTGTTGGTGCTACGCTGTCATACATATTTTGAGAGGAAGCTAGCACAGGACCATATAAAGAACCTGCCGAGCTATAAATATGCTGTTGTTGCTGTTTGCTGGCCACAACTCGATTGGAAACAGCCACAAAGCTGTGATTGGTGTCGCTGGTTGTTACGGGTGCAGCCTGATATATTTCCTGCTTTTGAAGTATTTCTTCTCTAGCTCCCACTTGTTCATACCAGATTCTATTAACGACGCTTTGCGTCGTATTAGTACTAGCAGAAGATGATATCGAACTTACGATACTTTTGTGTTGCATTTCGACGTTGCCGTAATCACAATTCCTTTCCGAGTTATGAATTTTGGGTGAAACTTGCAGATTAGATGAAGGACTAGATTGATAGGAATGCGAGTTAGTGGCTTCCCGACCTTTAAGAGGAGTTAGATCCGTTTTAAATAATACTTCCTTGTTGGCATACATTGCTGTTGAGTTCCTTTCTAAATCATTTTGGCCTTTATTAGTGTACATGTCTTTCTCCAACTCTGCTATGAAACTTTCATCAAGCATAACTCGCTGGTTCTGATCATTACTTTGGCTACCGTTTATAATTTTCTGCGATTGTTGTTGCTGTTGCTTATCCAAGCTTAGATTGCTAAGATTCCTTTGCAGAGCTGTGTCTTCAGCCACATTTCGAGCTGTTTCGTAAGGCTTTTGATACGTGACATCCATCGACAATTGCGGTATATTCTCTTTGTTGCCGCTCAACGAAGTGTTGGACGCTCCCATTGCTGATGTGATACCAAAGAGACTTTTACGCGCTGACGGAGTATTTGTACTGGCATTCTGTGGACAAGCGGTTCTATAAAAGTACTTTAGAAATTTATAACTATTTATGACTCTATTAAAATCAACTAACCTTAACGGGCTATCTTGTGACTGTTTAGAGGACAAAACATTCGAGTATAAAGTTTGCATGTCACCATTTCCTGCAGTTAGCGAACTATTGCTAGTCTCAAATGGATCTTCCTTTGGAGGTGTTTGACTTTTGGGCCGCTGTTGGTACTGCGAAAATTCCATAGTATTTGAATAAGTGGGCGGCATTTGGTAGGGTGGCGGCTGCGGGCGATTAGACGGCGATGTATTGAATTCAAACTGTCGAGTAGTATTGAGAGTAGGCGTATGCGGTGTTAAGTCATTTTCCATGCTGTAATCTTCACCTTCCGTAGGCACTTCAATCGGAGCATCCAGTATACAAAAAGTGGTGTCTGACGGCATTAAAGGGGGCGGACCAGCACCTCCGAATTCGGGAGAAATATCTATTAAGATACCTTCCCTTTGTTGAGCTTGAGCAAGAGGTGGCGGTGGCCTTTGAGGTCCCATATTTCTCTTGCAGTTATTATTTTTGGCAATCAAAGCCGAGTTTTTTTGAACTTCTACACCACCGCGCTCATTAATAAGTTTATTATACGCAAACTGTTTATTAATAATCGATTTGCGTTCCTTGGCATGGGTTAGGTTGGCTTGATGTTGCACGGACGTTTTACGAGCTCGATCGGTCTGAAAATCCGAACCGCTAGAAGCCGCCATAGCACCAGCGCCACCCCAACAAAATCCAAACGGGGATCCTGTAGCTTTTAAACCATCATGAAAAGGCCTAATCAAATCACTGTTGATAGTCTTCTCGAGTACATTACGTGGAAAGATACCAATTTTAAAAGTCCGTTGATTTTGCCCTTTTATCAATTTTAATTCGTGACGGCCATCGATAATGGCTACATTATCTCCAACTGAAATTTCTAAACGATTTACCTCCAAACAAGGTCGCACGGCTTTCAATATAGGTGGTGATGTACCCACCAAAAATTCTCTGGAAATGCACAAAAATTTATGTTAAGAAATATCGCAGAGATTGAATTATAGATTGAGTTGCAACTCACTTTATCGCAGCAAATGTGGGACGTTCTGCAGGTGTTTTATCCCAGCACTGTAACATCATTTCATAAACATCTGGAGGACAAGCCTCGGGATGATGTAAACGTTCTCCTTCTCGATCAATTTTACGTAGTATCTGAGAACCGTTTAAACCCGCCCAAGGATTCTCACCAAATGTGAACATCTCCCATAAAGTAACACCGAACATCCACGTATCGGATGCATGCGAAAATTGACGATAACGCAACGATTCCGGTGCACACCAGGGAAATGGAACTTTTTTATGCTCTGACATAACGTAGCAATCATCTTCTTGCGGCAGGGCACGCATTAAGCCAAAATCGCCAATTTTAATTTTATTTCCCGACGCCAACAATACATTCCGACAGGCAAGATCACGATGTAGAAAACGCTTCTGTTCTAGATAAGCCATACCTGTTGCAATTTGCACCGACCAATTCCATATGATAGTCAAGGGTGTATGCTTATCCTGTTTGCGTAAAGTATCCAAAAGCGAACCACGCTCCGCCAACTCAGTTATCATCATCATAGGTTGTGATAAAACGACGCCATACAAGCGTATTAAATTAGAATGATCCAAGGCATGCATGGCTTGAACTTCACGAAAGAAATCCTCAATAATGCCAGGTTGGGTAAGATTATCAGCCTTTAGTACCTTAAACATATAAAAGACCAATGAATAATTTAGAAATTTTTTGTAAGATTATGTGAAAACTTGTCCTACTTTAACTGCCACTGGAATACAACGACCATTGGGAGCCGCTAACCATTCCCCTCTCATTACCACACCAAAAGATCCATCGCCCAATTTACTACCCAGAGTAATATCTTTTTCATGTATGAGGCAGGTAAGTTGAGTATTCTGTTGTTCTTTGCTTGCATTTAAAGATGATTTCTTTGATGAAGGCTGCTTGCCACCGCCAATCAATTTCGATAAAATATTTTTACGCCATTGATGAGCTTTTTTCTTACGCACTGCTTCCATTAAACGACGAATGGCTGGTTTACCCAAACCACAACGTTCTAGATCTTCCGGTTGCACATAATCAAAATGAGCTAATCGGGTCACTTGTAGATCATCACGTATCCGCTCTAGAAATTGTTCCAATTGTACTTCTCTTAATAATTCTTCCAGCCATTCCGTTTCGGCCAAATTGTCCAATTGATTGGTAGAATTCATCTGAGATAGAAAGGCGCAAAAGTATAACAATTAAAAATGTCTTACATTAAGAGAGAAATTTCTTTTAGCTTACATAGGGGAACAGAAAGCGAGATATACATCTCAGAGACATACGAATACTCTTAGTTTTTTTTTCCCCCATTTAATAAACTCTCTCTCTTTATCATGACCTTATTTAAACGGTAATGCGAACGCAATCATTACAAGTGGAAAGAAGATTAATGCGCATCATGACCATCAACTATTTTAAATATGACAAAACGATTTTATTACGACTCGTAGTCGTCTTATATTACTGGTGGAGATGATTTTCAGATGATCTCCATGCAATTTTGGATCGTTTTCTATAAGAGCTTTCAGACATGGTCTGAATAGTCTTGACGTATTACGAAACGTATACTTCAACTGTTGTAATATGAGTTTTTTTTTTCAATCCTGTTTCATTTCGTTGTTCTTAAAACAAGAATGCAACTCTGCACTGCCAATTTTTTGGTAAAGCAGAACAAGAACGAGGCAGAAGGGAGACTAATAGATAGTGTGGCTGAAGAATAGGCCCAGCGGCAAATTCCCGGTTAGTTATAATTTCGTCCGCCTGGTATTCGGTAAAGGGGCAAGTACGTGCAAATTTTCTTGGTGTAACTGTCCTAGGAATATCGGTGAGCGTGTTATACAATCCCTTCCACATCTCACGAACTGGTTAGCTCAGCTATGGCACGTACACTTACCTCATAGGCCTCCGTTCCTCTTCAAGTGGCACCGAACAGTTACCCTAAAATTTCTATAGATGACAGTTTTATACATTAGAGGACTGTTAGAACAAATTTCATCCTGTTAGATATAAAAGTGACGCCCTATTTGGGACATTATTGAGAGGATAATAGGTAACTTGTGTTACACCGTGCCAAGCCCGAGCTGTTTCACTTTTGAGCTCTGAAAGAATCAAGAAGCAGCAAGATAGGTAGAGGGACACATGAACTTGACTTGGAATCTTTTTTCTTTTTGAAAGGGAATATAAACCTTATGAGTTCATCCACGTGGATATTATAACCTAGGTTCGTTTCATTTACTGGATGTTACAAACGAAATGATACATCTAATCTACCCACATTGTTGGGGTAGAGGTAGAAATATTTTCAATGTCATTGAAACTAGTTGTTATCCACTGCACATACTAATAAAATTGATTTAATAAATAAAAATCAGTTATGCTCGTCAAAACGAACGACACAAGCGCAACGATAAAAATCTAAAGTAAACACAAAAGTGAAAAAATTGATAAGCAATAGTGAGTAGTAGACAAAAAAATTCAAGCAACCGATTATCGAACAGTTCATTACGTCAGAGCGGCGTTTACCTTATATTGCCGTTTTAATGTTTAAAGGTAGCGACGAGGGGCACAATGCGAATAGAAATGAGAAAAAAGAAACATGAAGACAGCATTGCATTGCCATTGGCAAAAATAGTTTGCGCATCGGTACCCTCCGCTATTATTCAAGTGGGCGAATGCCAAAAATATGCATACCATCAGCATATATTTGCATTTATATCTTTGTATGTAAATACCTACGTACCTACGTACAGAAGGCACAGAGGGAGTCATTCACTGTTTTAAGAGCGTACATACAATACGATTGAATGCATTTAGCGGTCTACATGTACAATCCGTTGAGCATATTTAGAAAATCGCTAGTAAGTTTTAATTAAGAGGGAATATAAACGCGTCTTGAATTACTTGCTAGAGTATCATATCATACATAGATTTGTATGTGTTCGTCGAAACGATTTAACAATCGTCTTACGGAAGAGACTTTACTTTACACATTTTCAAATGCCGTCACAGCAATCGGATTAATTAACAATTATGAATCTTTATAGAGTGCCATTTGTTCATCGTGGCGACAACATAAACTGTCGCGGGAACATATATATATTACAATGAAAAATATTTCTTGTTGTTTTTATATAATATATAGCATAGCAATAACATTGCAATTAAACTTATCTTGGTTTCTAATTGAAAACTATTAGATTTATAAAGAGAATATCACGTTTTGCGTCTTAATAGAGGATTTGTTTTATTTATTTATGATTTAAAACCGGCTGCTGACACATGACTTAATTGCAAAGTAAGAAATAACGGATTTTCCCAAAAAAGAAAGCGAGAGCATGTAAACCAATAGATATTTTGCAAAAGGAATGCAGTCGGCGACTGCGTGCATTAAATGCCTATGGTTTTATTTGTTTAATATTTTTTTGAGGTTATGTCGTTTATTTTTCTACTGTCTTTTGACGTTTCAACTTGTCCACGTTTGTTATTAATATTTGCCTCAGCTCTTGTTTGTTATTGTCGTCGCTATAAATAAAACTCTTCTCCAAAGGGGTTGAAACAATATTCCAAGATGTCATTGTGAGAATAATATACAAAAATATTAGGATTGCGAAAAACATTCCCGTGGCGAAATCATTACTTATCTGTTATACACTGCTTTTAAGACAGGGACTTCCTACAGGACTGTTAAAAGGCGACATTTTATGTGAACATAATCTACGCTGTAATCGAATCTTTTTTAAATCCATTTATTAGTCGAAATCTATTTCCTCGCCTTCAAAGTAATCTCTCTCAGATGCTATATATTTATGCCAATGTTTTTTCAAATCTTAAAAACAGTTGTTACTGGTCGACTTCCGGAATGGCCTTCAAAGGTTTCTGCGGTTGAGCTTGTATCTCTTCAAACGAGTCAAAACCCTGTTTATGGAGTGGCCTTTTGACTTTAGCCAATAGTCAAATATCTCATAGCGGTAAATCAGGGTGAATACGATGATTGTAGAACAATATGGGTTGACTTTTTAACGCAGTGCTCGCGAAGGACCAATGCAGAAATTGAGTATTTTTTGGACGATTCAAGAATTAACACGTTTCAGGCCAAAAATTTTGTTTGAATAAGGGCGGCAAGGTACAAAATCAAGAAAAGTCGGGAAAAATACTTTTTATGGGACACAAAACAAAGCGCAGCAGATATGCTAATGATGTTTATGATGTGAAATTTGGCATACGTGTCTGTCTGATATTCGATGTACCTGAGCAATTTAAGTTTGTGTAATGGCCTTAATATTTGATCATAGTATTATAGTCAAAATCACACTCTCAAATTAAAGCAAAAAAAAAAAAAAAACTGAAAGTAAAAAAAAAAAAACAAAACTGGCGAAGTTTTGCAGTGCTTAGATATCAGTCTAAGAAAGAATTAAATGAAAGACATTTCGCATTTCGATCTTGCCGAGTGTTTGACTTTGGAGTGATCAATCAGCAGGGATTGAGGTTGAGATCACTCAGGGCATAAGTATTCCTCAATTGGATGAGTGCATGAAATTTAAACAAATGGATTAAATATAAGGAAGCATTCGCTGAGTTAGAATGCAAAAGGAATTCGAATTAAAACTTTCCAAAAACACTTTTTTCGTTTTCAGAAATACAAAACTGTCCATTTGTATCCTAGAGGAAGACTAAAATTCCACAGTAATGTCCCGCATTACGGCAGGAATTCGTAAAAGCGATAGGTCCCGCTTGTTGATGAAAATTTTCCGATAACGATGTTTTCGAGAGCAGAATGAATTTTTGTAATCTATCACTTTTCCCACGGTAGCCATTAATACGACTATATCCGCCTGTGTACAGTAGTCCCCCATAATAGGAATTTATATAAGATGGATTCGTATAAAAGGACCGGAAAATTCCGATTGTGTTCATATGTCAATGACTGAAACGTTTTAACTTCAATTAATTTAAACCTTAAGTCCATAAAAGAACAGATGGACGGTATGTCTTGATAACTGAATATTGATTATACATCTAATATAAAAAAAATTGTACTTATATAACCCAAGTGACTTGTATAGCGCGGGTTTATATAACACAGAGCGTATCTGCCGTATTGTACGGAGGGTTACTGTATGCATACACTTTTCATGTGAATTGGAGGTAAAAATTCAAAAGTAAAGTGAACAATAAAAAAAGAGAATTTCTTGACGGACTAAATTATAAAAGATTGGAGTGTACATACGCAAGCATCCGATTTTCACCTTTCATAAACTTTAATGAATTTTTACGTTATTAGTGTTAGCGAGACCAACAAATCGTCCAAGATGACTATATTAGACGACTTAAGCAAAGAAAACTGTTCAACCCAATAGACAGACGGATACATTGCAGTTTACGAACACATCTTGCTCTTGGATGAAATTGGCCAGTTGTTTTGGATTTTTTCTCCTTTGCTATTTCTTTTTAATTGCCATCTACTCACTCGCAAACCTGATATAGAAATTCAGTTATACTCAATGAAAGGAATTATTTTACTTTTTTACGTAAAATCTTTATACAAATCGTCACTGTTTAGCTTCTTGATGTTCGCGTTACCGATCGTCGCATATATGGGACATTTTTGAAGGGTGTAAAGATAAATTAGAATTTAACTAGCAAAGACACCTACCATATTCCTTAACAGAGCTCCGTAAAGGCCAATAAATTTTTTTTTAACAATAAAAAATATTTCCTTAAAGGAAAGCATCAATTTTTTTTACTTATTCGACAAATATTTTTATATAGATTCACGCGTTATAGGTGAATATAGGTGAGATTTCCTAGGTTGGCCGCACTAGAGTCTTAAGTTTGGCAAAAATATTTACTATAAGCAGAATTTGAATTCATTTAGCTTCTTTGAAAGATATTTTCATGCGTTGTCCACAAAAATAGATTCCGTTCTTTAATATGGACAGAGTAGGCGTCCAAATGCAATTATATCTGAATTTCATCCGAGCTCTGTTAAGGGATATAGTAGATGCCTTTGCTAGTTAAATTCGAATTGAACTTTATACCCTTAAATTTTTGTATCAATTTAAAAAATTTTTGGTGACGATGGATGTGAGGTCTTGGTAGCGAACGGGTTAAAAGAAAGGTTATGAGAATGAAATGATTTTTTAACATCATTAGAGTTTCGTTCAAAGAA